GTAGCTAGGAATACAGGCATGAGCCACCAGTGCCCAGCTAAAGGAAGTATCCTGAATGAGGTATTATTGAAAGGCAGTTTGATAAAACTGAAGAAACAGGTATACATACAGAATTTTAGACTTCAGACAGAAATATTTATTGATTGACTAACTAGTTGCTTGACATAGGAAAAGTACTTCTCTAAACCTTGTTTACATGTCCATGGAATTGGAATATAATGACACTTTCTTATAAGTTTCTTGTTGAGGCTTTGTATATCAGTATAATTTTATAACAGTTCTTCAATAATAGCTATGAAATGACATAGTGTTGGGCATGGTAGTGAACACCTATAATCCCAGCCTTTGAGAGGCTGATGTAAGAAGATTAATTGAGATTAAGCGAGCCTGGGTTACATAGTGAGTTTGAGACCTAGTTGGACTACATAGTAAGACGCCTCAAACAAACAACAACAAAAACCATATCACCAACCAAAAAAAGAAAGAAAAAGAAAATTTAACTTTTCAGTGAAGGGTGACTATGCCATGCCCACAAGGGGGCAATAGTGACTTTCATTTCGTAGACTATCAATAGTTAAAGTCAATTTATTTCAATGGCTTAAAAAACTGTGTAGTTAAGGGCTGGGAATGTGGCTTAGTGATAGAGAGCTTGCCTAGCACACATGAAGCCCAGGGTTTGATTCCTTACTACTACATAAACAGAAAAAGCCAGAAGTGGCGTTGTGGCTCAGGTGGTAGAGTGCTAGCCTTGAGCAAAAGCAGCTCAGGGACAGTGCCCGGGCCCTGAGTTCAAGCCCCAGCACTAACCAAAAAAGTATGTGTATATATATATATATATATATGTCCCGACCTGCAGGACTTCAATGAGGGCAATGAACCTAAGGGAGAAGGAATGAAGGGACAAGAGACACAAAGAATGACAGCAAAACAGGGACTCTGATCAAGCTGCCAAATTTTATTTTTCACACAGGGGTATTTATATGCTTAGAATAAGGAAGCTTTTTCATTGGCCGCAGCAGCTGTAGGATGTTTGCTTAGGGCAGTGTGAAAAGGTGGTGGATAGCAGCTACCTGGTGTTTGTTTGGGGCAGGATGAAAGGACCGGATTCTGTAAACAGCCTGGAGATGTTCCAGCGAGATAGTCAAGCTTAGGGCTCCGGACATATATATATATATATATATACAAATTTGTAATATAAAACATTCAAAACCTTTTGATTCATAGTGGTTTGGGTTGTACTACTTAGAAGCAAGTGCTTTTATAATCCAAAAAGTCTTTTTTTTTTTTTGGTCTGAGACCAGGACTCAAACTGTATCTGATACTTTTTTTTTTTTTTGGTCCAGTTGTGGGGCCTGAACTCTGGGCCTGGACACTGTCCCTCAGCTCAAGGCTCAAGGCTAGCTAGCGCTCTACCACTTGAGCCACAGTGCCACTTCCGGCTTTTTTCTTTTTGCTTATGTGGTGCTGAGGAATCGAACCCAGGGCCTCATGCATGCAAGGCAAGCACTCTACTACTGAGCCACCTTCCCAGCCCCCCGTATCTGATACTTTTGCTTATTGGCTAGTGACCTGTTATCTGAGCCATGCTTCCAACCTCCAGAAAGTCTTTAGAAGCTAATATTTATATGTTCATAAACTCGTGAAAAGAGCTAGAGATGGTCTTTAGGTTAACTATTGAAATTTTTATCTGATCTGGAATAAAGCCAAACATATTCACAATAGAGATTCATTGCTTTGGTCCCTTTAGATGAGTATTGTTGTCAGTAGCTGTTGGCAGACCTTTTGCTTTTTCTGTGTTGACAACTGCAAATTGACTTTGCTAAACAATCACATACTAGAGTTGACTTACCCATGCAGATAAGTTTATTTTTGCTGTGTGTCAGTACTTGAGTTTCAACTCAGGACTTGTGCTTGCTGGGCAGATACTCTACCACTTCAGCCATATCTCCAGCCCATTTAGCTTTAGTTATTTTTCCAATAGGGTCTCTCATTTATGCCCTATTATCCAGGAGGAATTGTGAGTTCTTATTTTAGCATTTGGTAAGATAAGCTAAATAATAAGACAGTGGTGAATTAACCAGGAAAATTCAGGGATAGATAACTGAATGTTCCCCTGTATGGGAGTCTTTAAATACATACAGATTCTTCTGGAGGTGAAACACTGTGCTCCACCCTTATCACTTAGTTCCCTGGGTTTTTTGAGAGAATTAGAATGAAATGGGTGTCTCCCCCTCATTTCCACTGCAACAGTTATCACACCAAGCTATCTACCATTTGTATGTATTTGTGTGCCTGCCCTGGGGCTTGAACTCAGGGCCTGGGCATTGTCCCTGAGCTTTTTTGCTCAAGGCTTGCACTCTGCCACTTGAGCCACAGTGCCACTTCTAGCTTTTTTTTTGGGGGGGGGATAGCTTATTGGAGATAACAGTCTCATGGCTGGCAGGGTGCCAGTGGCTCATGCCTATAATCCTAGCTACTCAGGAGGCTGAGATCTAAGGATTGCCATTCGAGGCCAACCTGGCAGGAAAGTCGTGAGACTTTTACCTCCAATAAACTACTCAGAAAAAGCCAGACTTGACACTGAGGCTCAAGTGGTAGAGGGCTAGCCTTGAGCACAAAGAGGCTCAGAGACAGCTCTTAGACCTTAAGTTCAAGCCCAAGGACCATCAAAAAAAAAAAAATCTGGGAGGACACTGATGGTTTATGCCTGTAATCCTAGCTACTCCGGAGGCTGATATCTCAGGATCATTGTTTGAAGCCAGCCTGGGCAGAATAGTCCCCATGAGACTCTTACCTCCAATAACCACTCAAAAACCAGAAGTCGCGCTGTGACTCAAGTGGTAGAGTGCTAGCCTTAAGCACAAAGAGGCTAGGCTCAGGGACAGCACCCAAGCCCTAAGTTCAAGCCCCACAACTGACCAAAAAAACAAAAAAAGTCTGACAGATTTTCCTGCCCAGGTTAGCTTCTGAGATCCTCAGATCTTATCTTCCTGAGTAGCTACAATTATAGATCTGAGTGAGTGCCTGGCTCTGCCCACCTGTTTAAAGTTAAAACCAGCAGGGCATTGGTGGCTTAGGCCTGTAATACTAGCTACTCAGGAGGCTGAGATCGGAAGATCACAGTTTGAAGTCATCCCAGGAAGGAAAGTCTGTGACAATCTTACCCTCAATCACCAGAAAACTGGAAGAGGTGCTGTGGCTTAAAGTGGTAGAGTGCTAGCCTTGAGCAAAAGAACTCAGTGACAGCACAACCCACAAAATAAATATATAAATAAATTTACCAGTAAGTTTACTTACATTAG